TGTGTGTGTGTGTGTGTGTGTGTTTTGTGTCACCTTGCACTGCAGGTATGTGGTGTGTAGTTGTCCGTCCGTGTCCTGTGTAATGACCTGCATGACGTTCTGGAGCTGAAAGGCGTTTTCATCCACGCGCTCCACCGCACACACACGCGCTATGGGAATAGAGGAGCGAACCTGCAAAACACACACACACACACACACACACACACGTCTCACCTCAGCACTTTCCCAACATTAGAAGCCAAGAGATGATAATGAACCTACAGCTAATGACACTCCATTCATAAAACACACACACAGAGAAGAAAGGAAAGCGTGTTGGACCTGCCAGTCGGGGCTCTTGGCGTACGACAGCGTCTCTGAGCTCAGCCAGAAATATCGTTTCTTAAAAGCGAAGCGTTTGAGCAGCTGAGGTCCTTCGGCTTTGTGTTTCTGCAGGAAACCTTCCTTCACGATGACCGATGGCAAAAACACGGCGCGCTGCGGAGCTTCAGACACTGTACAGAGAGATAAAACCAGAAACTCATTCATATCTAAAATACATTTGCTTTAGGTTTTAATTAGGATTTTTTTTCCAACAGAAATACATGCATAAATGACTGAAATGAATATTATATAAAAACTAAAATAAAATATTTTTCCAACATGAACGCATTCATAAATGATTGAAATGAAAATTACATTAAAATAAACATAAAATAAACAATATTGAATATAAAAAAACTAATATTTTCCCCAACATGAATGCATGTATTGAAATGAAAAATATATAGAAATAAATGTAAAATAAAAAATATAGAATAGAATAAAAATGCACAGAAAGACAATGAGAAACTAGATTACAATAATCATTCATATCTAAAATCCATGTGTTTTAGGTTTTAATTATGATTTTTCCTAAATGAATGCACACATAAATGATTGAAATAAAAAAAAATATATAAAGATACATGTAAAATAAACAATAGAGAATATAATAAAAATGCACAGAGAGACAACAAGAAACTCGATTATTCCAGTAAACATTTATATCTAAAATTCATGTGGTTTAGGTTTTAAAGATGATTTTTCCAACATAAGTGCATGCATAAATTACTGAAATGAAAATTATATAAAAATAAATATAAAATAAACAATATAGAATATAAATTATAATATTTCCAACATGAATGCACGCATAAAATAATGAAATGAAAAAGATTTAGAAATAAATGTAAAATAAACCATATATAATATAATAAAAATGCACAGAGAGGCAATGAGAAACTAGATTATTACTGTAATCATTTCTATCTAAAATCCAGGAGGTTTTAATAACAGATTGACTGCACTGAATGCAGTGGTTTGAGTTAGTTGTGTAGTTCTGCAGTGCAGACAGCAGGTGGCGCACGGGACTACAGTCAGTCACACACACAGGACAGCGGCTCATATTTCACTCACACATGTGCAGATTACAGTCGTACAGACTACAGTAAACCTCCAGAGTCTGGATGTATTGTGCTGATGTTTGTCTCTCAGTTATTCTAACACGCTTTTAACAGATCGAACACACACAGATGCTGTGGAGTGAATGCGTTTGTGTAAGAGCTGCAGGTGTGACTGTTATCAGACTCCTTGCCTAACGTATTCACACATGCATTAAATATTAAAGCAGTTTTTGACAGGACGTGTTCAGCGCGGTGTCAGAGTAGATATGGCTATGTGATCACTCAGTCAACCTACACACACACACACACACACACACACACACACACACACACCAGGTTTTAACCATTGCTTTTTTTGCAATCTACTTTTTTGCACTAAATTTGTAAAATGTTTTGTTATATGCGCCATAACATACCTGCATATTTACAGTATGCATATAATAAAAAAGACTATATACAGCCTTAGAGAAAAAAATTAAGAGCTACATATATAAAACATATTTAAAAAACATAAAATATATAAAATAATTGTATATTTTAGTATCATTATTAATATACTACTGTAGCTTTTGCTAATATATTGAATTTGATTTGATTTTTATATTTTCTGTTTTCATTTTAATTGTAGTTAAAGTTTTAGTAATTTTGTTGTGTTTTTATCATTTTATCTTTTTTTTTTTAAATATGAAATTTAGTTTTTATAAAGTTATACTTTTACTTTATTTATTTTAGTACTTCAACTAAAACTAAATGAAAATGAGAAATGTTGCCTTGGCAACTAGCTGAAATAAGATCATTTTTTAAACGTTTTGTTTTAGATTTTATTGTATTTCATGTTGTGAAAATGCTTTTATGGTTTTAGTTCAGCATAATAACCCTGGTTCAGTTTTTAATGAGAAGTATTTTTAGTAAATAGTCTTTATAATTAATTGTCTGTCTCAGTCTGTCATCATGGTAATAAGTTGCTGTGATATTTGTGGCCAGTCGTCATGGCGACTCACCGTTGCTGTGATCGATGTCTATGAGTTTGTCCAGGAAATCTTTGACGGACGCCACGCTGCAAAGGATGATGGGATGCAGAGGGGTCATCCACTGCTCCTTCCCATGACCCAGCTGAAGGCCCAGGTTCCCCACGCTCTGAAGAGCCTGAGAGAGACGGAGAGAGACGCTCACGGCTCTGCAGGTGTGAGTGGGTGAGTGAAGACCGGACAGCATGTCATTAACCCGTTTACACTGCAAATGTGCCACTGATTAAACTAGTGAAATGCCTGCTTGAAGATCCAAGTGCTTCAGAGCTGATCGTGTCCAGACAGTAACCCTCATTCTGTGAAGTTCATCTTATGGCCACAGTGACAGCATTCAATCAGTTGCGCTTGTGTATACTGTATAAGTTTCGCCTGCATGTTTCGCATTTCAAATTCAAAGACCGTCCTATATTTTAAATGCAAACTATGACATTATTAATTCCTAAATTGATTCCTTAAAACATCCCATAAAATGCACTGATAAATGCATGTTTATTTCCTGAGTTTATGCATTTTCTATTGAAACAGGACATGTTAGAAAATGAAAAAAAATGTAAAATGATATAATGATAAAAATTATGATTTCTCAAACATGAATGCATACATAAATGATTTATGTAAAAATTATATAAAAATAAAAGTAAAATAAAAAATATATATTATAATATAATATAATAAAAAAAGTATTTCCAACATGAATGCATGCATAAATTATTGAAATGAAAATTATATAAAAATAAAAGTAAAATATACAATATATAAATGATTACAGTACATAAATGATTGAAGTAAAAATGATATAAAAAAAGAAAAAAAAACCAATATAGAATATAATAAAAATAGTATTTCCAACATGAATGCATGCATAAATGATTGAAATGAAAATTATATAAAATAAATATAAAACAAACAATATAGAATATACAAATTATGATTGTTCTAACATGAATGCATGCATAAATGATTGAAATTAAAATTATATGTAAGAATTAAATGTAAAATAAACAATATAGAAAATAGTAAAAAAAAATATGATTTTTCCAGCATGAATGCATGCATAAATAATTAAAATTAAAATGAAATAAAATATTAAATGTAAAATAAGCAATATAGAAAATAGTAAAAAAAAATATGATTTTTCCAACATGAATGCATGCATAAATAATTAAAATTAAAATGAAATAAAATATTAAATGTAAAATAAGCAATATAGAAAATAAAAAATATGATTTTTCCAACATGAATGCATGCATAAATAATTGAAATTAAAGTTATATAAAATATTAAATGTAAAATAAGCAATATAGGAAAAAGAAAGATTTTTCCAACATGAATGCATGCATAAATAATTGAAATGAAAATTATATGTAAAAAAAAGTAAAATAAACAAAATAGAAAATAATAAAAACTATGACTTTTCCAACATGAATGCATGCATAAATAATTAAAATTAAAATTAAATAAAATAAAATATTAAATGTAAAATAAGCAATATAGGGAAAAAAATTAATTTTCCAACATGAATGAATGCATAAATAATTTAAATTTAAATGAAATAAAATATTAAATGTAAAATAAGCAATATATATATATATATATATATACAGTGGGTACGGAAAGTATTCAGACCCCCTTAAATTTTTCACTCTTTGTTAT